GTGAGACTGGGAGGTTTATTTTAAACTTTAGGGACACTGGGAGACAGGATAGACTCATCAGACCAACGATCCACTAACCGACCTCCATGAATGTAGACAGACAGATGAAATGTAGACAGAAATACACACTCACATATATATGTATAAATGCACACACACACAGACAGACAAAGGGATGAATGGATAGATGAATGGATGGATAGATAGGTGGACAGACGAACAGCAGACAGACGGACGGACGGAGAGACAGACAGACAGACAGACAGACAGACAGGCAGGCAGGCAGGCAGGCAGGCAGACAGACAGGCAGGCAGGCAGGCAGGCAGGCAGGCAGGCAGGCAGGCAGACAGACAGATAGACAGATAGATAGATAGATAGATAGATAGATAGATAGATAGATAGATAGATAGATAGATAGATAGATAGATAGATAGATAGATAGATAGATAGATAGATAGATAGATAGATAGATAGATAGATAGATAGATAGATAGATAGATAGATAGATAGATAGATAGATAGATAGATAGATAGATAGATAGATAGATAGATAGATAGATAGATAGATAGATAGATAGATAGATAGATAGATAGATAGATAGATAGATAGATAGATAGATAGATAGATAGATAGATAGATAGATAGATAGATAGATAGATAGATAGATAGATTAGATCGATTAGATCGATTAGATCGATTAGATTACATCTGATTAGATAGATAGACAGATTTTATTTTTTAGATAGATAGGCATACATACATATAGACGCACAGACAGACGTACATACAGATTGATTTGGGTTAGAAGAATAAGTTGTTTGTGAACAAATAGAATCTCTACCCTCCCAGGTACAAGTAGGAAGTGCGGATTCTCTGTGGGCATCTCACTAGGCTCGATCAGACCTACTTATCTCAGCAGTTGTGTACCTCGTCAGGTAGCAGGTCCTTTGTTTAGCGTCGCTAACATAACAATCGATGGAAAGATCCTTGGTCTCTTGGCAGTTCTCTTTCTTTACTTGAATTCTGGTCAGTATGTCGTATAGGCAGGCTTACTGTTTTTAATCGTGGCATGTTTTTGCTTCTGATTATTTTTAGCCGTTGCATTTTTCTCTATATGTACACTGACAGGATGCAGTTCCGTCGCCCAATTACTGAGTTGAGTGCACCGAGCGACGCTGTGAGCTGCGGATTTAATTTGGTATGCGTATGGGCTGTGCCAAACGGAGTTTGTGTTGTGAACTGCGAGTGGCCTGATGCCGCAGAACTAATGGTGCCTAATGCTATTAATTGCGTGTGCAACTACTGATCTGTTGTAACTGCTGCTTCCATTGACTATAAACTGCATTTCTAGCAGCGGGCTGTTTGGTTCAACACTTCATTTGGCTGCTTTATGCATTTATTACGTGTGTATGTTGTTAGCTGTGTCGACAGGCACAACCAGTTACGTCACTTGGACATACAGGCGATGAAAAGAACAAAGTTTTTCAGTTTCCTAACCAAGATTCTGTTTACTGGCCACCACAGCACACCTTGTAAAATGTCACTTTTGTTTTGTTTATGTTGAGAAACGGAAAACGGGAATGCTACTGTGACATTTAAGTTAAAAGCCCGGGTTTTCTTTAGCCACTGCCAAATGGTCTATGATTCACATCAGATGTTGCCACAGAAAGAAAACAAATGTGATTTCTCTACGTCTTTTCTTTAATTTTTGGCTGGTGCTATGCCATAGATCAAAGAGTTTCAAACTGTCTCGAGACACACTAATGTGTAGGCTGCAGTGTGAAGGTGTGTCGTGCTAGCGTAAAGCTTTATCCAGAATAATACATACATTAGAAAGGTTAGTTAAACCTATAGTTTGCCAGTAGACCGAATTACAGTGTCGCGAAATTATTATTTTTTTCTTTTACTTCTTCTTTACGATCGGTTTCATGTCAGTTCCACGATAATCTCCCCACGTTAATACTAGTTCAATTCTGATTGGTCGACCTCCAGTCACCCGACCTTCGCACACTGCTAGGGATGTGTTCGGCAATGCCGTTGATATCTCGTTCTGTATATTTAAGCACACCATCGCTTTTAAAACTACAAAAACATTTAGAAACTGGATCTAACCCACAACTCCCCTTGAGGGTGGCGCAACCTATGTTACAGGCATTATCTTTTTAAAAAAAAAACAACAACAACAACGTAAATGCACGACATGCCAGAAAGGAAACAACATAGCCTTAACCCACTGGACAGTAGACGAGTCAAAAAGAATTTTGAATGGAACGTGACCTAGTTCGGCTGTTGAGATTATCATGAACTAACTCGGTTTCGTATACCGTTAGGTTGGTTGCCTCTTTTAACTCACATGTCAGCTGCAGGTCCTGCATGGTTACTCTTTTACCTCCTTATGACAGGCCAGTGGGAGAACAGGCTACAACAGTGTTTCCAAAACTTTTCTTGGTCGCAGCGCCTTTTTTCAATTAAAATTGTCACAGGGCGCCCTTACCTAGGACCATCGTGTTGTGGTTAAATTAATTATGTTGCTTTTACAATATTTCGCGGTGCCCCTACGAAGAGGTCGCGGCTCCCCGGGGCGCTGCGGCCCACAGTTTGGGAATCACTGGGCAACACCAAATAAACCATATTCACGGGGGAAGTGAATAGTCACCAGCCCAAATTCGGTGCAAGGGAAACAAAGGTTTGTAAAAGCAAAGGAGAGAACAGTCCTTTGTTTGTTCATTGTGATCGATTTTGTAAAGCTGATATAAACTATTAGTTCTTTCTTACCCCCTTTTTTTCCCCTTTACTATAATTTCCTACCCTTTTAAAAAGCTTATTGTCAGGAAGGAGTCGCCGTGGTGTAGCGGAAAGACGTTACCATGAGGACCCGAAGATCTTGGGATCGAAGTAAAGGCCACCGGCGTGATTCTGACCACGTCACTTACAGAGTGCTGATTGTTCTATAAAATATCGGTTTAACACTATAAGCCCAATACGCCTGCAAGTGTGGAAAATGCCCCTTTTCATTATCATCTTGTAGCAGGTCCTTTGCAGAACGTCGCCCTCATCACGGTCTACCTGAAACAAATTTTCTTTGTCGTCAGCTCTCCCGCCTCGTGAATTTCATATTGAAGAAGTCACTTTTATCCTTCGCCCATCTTCGTGTTGTTCGGCCTCTGTACCTCCTTCCTGATACTATGCTCTCCGCTATTATTTTATTTAATCCGCCATGGCGCTTGATATTACCTAAGTATTTCAGCTTTCGAGACATTTTACTTCTTATTAGCCAATCTTTCATAATGTTTAGATCATTCAAAATGTCTGTATTTCTTCTCTTTGTCCATGTTATTCCGATGATCTTTCTTTAGCATTTCAGCTCGAGAAGCCGTATTTTCTTCCTTAAGGACTGGGAGATAGTCCACGACTCTTATCCGTATGTTGCTACAGAGAAGATGCATGCTGTCAAAATTTGTTAGCTGTGATTTCCATGATTATGCTTAACCATAGACTTGTAATGCTGTTTCATTGAGAGTTAGAAAAAGAATTTCTTGCTTGCTACATACATCCAGTTTTAACATATGGCTGTGAATCCTGGACAAAAGGTAGGCAGGCCAAACAATTTCTTGAGGCTTCAGAGATGTCGTTTTACAGAAGAATGCTTAGAATACCTTGGACAGCCAAAAAGAGCAACCAAGAGGTTTTGAAAGAGGCTGGAGCCCGAAGACAACTTATCACAGACATCAGAAGGAGAAGTCATCATTTTTCGGCCATGTTATGAGAAGAGGGAAAATAGAACATGTTGTCACCATTGAAAAGATATGTGGATAGAGGAAGAGGATAGAGGAAGACAACGAGAGAAGTTGCTTGACAGTCTTGTTGCATGGCATGGAGGTGTGTCGGCACACGAACTAATACATGCTGCAGGAGATCGCAGATTATGGAGAGGCATGATCGCCCACGCCAGCCAGATGATGATGGTGCTTTACCCTTTTCAGCATGGAAAAAGATATATCCTGAGGGGTCTTTAGGAGCAAAGAATAATATAAGACCCAGTCTTATTTTCAGAATAATACAATATGTTTGATAAGCATTTGTTATTTTAAATTATAATCACGTTTATGTTTTACATTTTCCCTTTAGGTGTGCAAATTTGTGCTGTCCGTTCACTTCAGGTGTGCAACTTTGAGCTGACCGTTCACTTCAGGTGTGCAACTTTGTGCTGACCGTTCACTTCAGTTGTGCAACTTTGAGCTGACCGATCACTTCAGGTGTGCAACTTTGAGCTGACCGTTCACTTCAGGTGTGCAACTTTGTGCTGACCGTTCACTTCAGGTGTGCAACTTTGAGCTGACCGTTCACTTCAGGTTTTCAACTTTGTGCTGACCAGGACGTGTGCCGACTCCTCCGCTGTGTAAACACGACGCAGTTGTAGGTATCTCTGGAAACCTATAGGTGTCAGCGAAACGCCCACACAAGTCACTATCTCCGGCATTTTGTGTGTTTACACAAATATTTTTCAGACGGAAGCCTTTCCTAGAGCGCCCACAGCAGACATACTTAATCCCACCTGCGCAATTACTCAAGGCACAACTAATTTTGACTCAGCATAGCGAGACACGACATAACTGTATATCTTACTGTTGAACCCAGTCTTAATCTTATATGTGCGTACCTATATCAGTCAGGTTAGCCAGTTTTGCCCGCCCAAGAAAAGTAGACTCGTTTTGGGGGAGCTATAGAAAGCAGGTTGATTGAAATTTGTATATACCGCGTATGGTTTGTCCATCTACAGAAGCCAGTCGCCATCTCTGCAGCATTAGTCTGTTCAACACCAAATCCTTGTGGATAAATTCACTAGTGAGCGGCAGAATTACCAAAAACAAGCGTGTTGACAGATTTGTCCGTGTCCAGAAAGCAACCAACATCTCCCCAGTCTAGACTCTAATTTTGCTCAACATCGAATCCTTTCGGATCGACTCACCTCTGACCGGTAGAACGTTCCAGATACAGCATGTTGACAGGTGTGGTGTTTCTGTTTTTGTCTGTTTACATTTTGATCGCGGCTTCGTCGTGGTCTGGCACGGTCAAGGACGACCTGTTAAGTGAGGATGAGGTCAGGGACATTGAAAAGTTTGTGGGTGACGTCATGGGCTGTGCTAACATTCCAGGTCTGGCTCTAACTGTGATACGGGGTGATGCAACTTTTTCTACAGGTAAGTTATCTTTGGAGTGTCTGTTTTTTTATTTGTTTGTTT